TGAGATAACGCGGTGTAGAGCTGGATGAACACAGCAGGCCAAGCAGCATCTTCCTGCTCCTATGATGCTGCTTGGCCTGCTGTGTTCATCCAGCTCTACACCGTGTTATCTCAGATTCTCCAGCATCTGCAGTTCCTACTATCTCTCTTACCAGGATGTTGCCTGGTTTGGAGAGTTTCAGTTATGAAGTGGGATTGAACAGACGGCTTGTTTTCCTTAGAGCAGTGGAGATTGAGAGGGGACATTATTGAGATGTATAAAATTATGAGGGGCATAAATCGAGTGTGCAGGAAGGAACTTTATCCCTTTGATTGAGGGATCATTGACCAGTGGGCTTAGATTTAAGGTAAGGTGCAGGAGGTTTACAGGAGATGTGAGAAAAAGCTTTTTCACCCAGCGTGGTGAGAATCTGAACCTCACTACCTTCAAGGGTGGGAGAGGTAGAAACCTTCTAACATTTGAGAAGTGTTTAGATGGGCACTTGCCAGGCCACGGGCCAAGTGAGGAAAATTGTTCTAGTTAGTTTTTGTTTTTGACTGGTACAGACACAATGGCCCTTTTTCAATGCTGTAGAACTCTGACTCTTTGTTTACAGCACTTTGGTCGAGAAGAAATGTTCCTCTGAATAAAGCTGGTCTTCAGTCCCTCATGCCCAAAAATAAATGAAACAATTTGTCATAAAGGGTCTTCTTTATAGATTCTAGAGGTCGTGACCACTGTTGATGGGACAAGGAATGCTAGATCTCGTTGTATGCTCTATTGGCCCTTAGCAGTCTCAATTCAGCAAGTGATAAAATTGACCAAGTGTTGAGGTGCACTGCGCATCTGGACAAAAGGAAAGATGTACAGTAGGAATCAGTCAAACAGAACCGGAGTATAAATTAGAAGGATGAGACTGGCATTCTGAGGGTCAACAGTTGAGGATTCCTTCTTGTAATTCAATATCTGAGAAGCATGACAGAGATGAATTGATTTCTAATATTGCGGGGGGAGGGGGGCAGAGTATAGAAATTCACAGCATGGAAGGAGGTTGCTCAACATCTTGTGCCCATGTGAGCTCTTATTGTAATTTCATTCTGAACTAATCCTGCTGTTCACACATCACCAATGTCTTGCATTTTTATCTGTTTCAATTTTTGGTCCAGTACCAGTTGTCTATGGCTCAATATCGTCCCATGGCAAAACATTCCAAGATCCAGGACCTTTATGTAAAGACTTTTCTCCTAGGCTCACCTTAGCTAGAGCAAATGGAACCTCTCTATTCACTCTACAAACCATTGTGATTTCAAAATGCTTTATCAAATTACCACTAGGTTTTCATTGTGTTGGTAGAAGTCCCAGTATCTTGGCTGATCTGATTCTACTTTCCCACCTATGATGTACTCCTGCTGAAGCTGCGCTGTGCTTTCGATTTGTCATTTTTCGCCAATGAAGTGCTCAAAACCGTACACAGTGCACTAGCATTGAATTAAACAATGGCTTGTGCTTTTTTCTTTCCAGCTTTTGTATTCCATGTATATAATCATCAAATAAAGTGTCTGTGATCTCTGTGATTTTATTTTGCTGCTTTTCTAGATAAGTTTAGAAACAACAAACTGAGGCCTGATTTGAAAAGCACCAGATGCCAGAATATTTATCAGAAGAAATTAGCTTGAAATGGAGCAGTAGGCGAGTTAATGAGTTTTGATGCAGTCATTAATTACAAGAGAAGCTGTCAGGCGACTATAGTTATTAATTACAATACATGGAAAGATCTTGCTGTCATTGAACAACAATTTGGAAGTTGTCAGAAAACAATGATGAAATACACTGAACTGGTGTATGTCATGTGCAAATCTGAAAATTTTGTTCCCTGATCCTTGTTAGGTGCTGAGCCCCAGGACAAATATTGGTGTTTACTGTAGTGGAAAGAATAAACGGAAAAAAATGAAAGAATTATTGATGGAGAAAGAGAGGGACTTCGATTTGGAGAGCTTGAGCGACTTAGAAGAGGTGGCTGAACAATCCAGTGACCCAAACACAGTTGTGAGTATCAGATATCTTTGCTTTCTGAGCTCCTAGATTCCAGTTCATCAATTAACTAAATTTTCCAGGCATCTTGTAATCTCCTAAATTCTTGTTAGATATCCAGGTTTCCTGCTGAGACATTTCTGACTTTTAGTGGAAGTCTGACTCTTCATTTGAGGAGTTCTGCCCTATGAAATGTTTTCTAACCTCCAGCTACTCTGCTCCATTGTCCATTGCATCATTTTGAATGTGCTTAGTATGTTGTTTATGATGAACTTCCTGCTGTCTTACAAGCAGTAACTACAATGAATGTTGAAATATTGGCTGCTAACTTGGTGATTTTATACAAACTGGTTCATTAGTTTTAAAGGTAATGGAAGGTAAACAAAGGGGAAACTGATCATTGAATCCCTACAATGTGAAAGCAGGCCATTTGGACCATCGAGTCCACACTGACCCTCCGGGAGCATCCCATTCAGACCCACCCACCTATCATCGCTGTAACCCTGCATTTCTCATGGCTAATCCATCTAACCAGCACATCTTTGGACTGCAGGAGGAAACTGGAGCACCTGGAGGAAACCCTCACAGACATGGGGAGAATGTGCAAACTCCACAGAGTCAGTCATCCAAGAGTGGAATCAAACCTGGGTCCCTGGTGCTGTGAGGCAACAATGCTAGCCACTAAGTCACTGTGCCGCCCATTGATGTTACCATTTGCTGGAATTCTAATAATTCCACCCACTTGAAAACCCATATTGCATGACTTTAAAAGTGCTGGACTTTTCCAGCCCTTCATGCTGCTGTTATTTTGTCACTCTGCTATAGAACTTAAACAAAAGGAACAGGATTAGGCTATTCAGTCTCCTGTTTGCTGTATAATTCAAGTAATGAATAATCTGATGTTTGCCTTAACTGCCTTTCTTCCATAACTCCTGACTTCCTTATCAAACAAATATTTACCTTCCTCAGCTTTGAATATATTCAAAAATTTGTCCTCCACTACTCACTGAGGAGAGAATTTCAAACATTAAGTTGCTCTTTATCTTCCTACAAAGTGGAAGCTGGTAAAGAGAATTAAGAAACTGTAAGCTACCAAAAGTTATAAAATGGACTGTAAAAGTTTCTACAGGTAAGTTTAAAGGAAGCATTTGACCAAAACAAATTGTTTCAGAGATAGTAGGAACTGCAGATGCTGGAGAATCTGAGGAGCTGAAGAGCCATTTTTCTGAAGAAGGGTCTAGGCCCGAAACGTCAGCTTTCCTGCTCCTCTGATGCTGCTTGGCCTGCTGTGTTCATCCAGATCTACACCTTGTTATCATTGACCAAAACAAATGGTGGGTTCATTGCAGGCAGAATGAGGAAATTCAGAGACCAGAACATCATTTTTTTTTTTTTTGTCTCTTCAAGAGGCATTCAATAAGATTTTAGATAGGAGGTCACTAAACAAGAATGTATGCTGTTGGGGTGGTGTACTAGCATGGTTAAAGAACAGGCTAACTAACAAAGAGTTGAGATAAATGAGTCACTTCAAGTTGGCAAACCTTACCAGTGTAGTTAACGGGCAGAAAAATGTGTTGAAACAAACGTGTTGCTGTAACCTTGACAGGCTGCGAGACTATTCGGGTTCTGTACAGCTCAGTGCTTGAGCCCCGGTTGTTCATTATATATGTCTATGTTTTGGACATGAAGATAAAATGTAAGATTTATATGTTTGCTCACGGAATGAAGCTAGGTGGGAGTGGGCGCTGAAAAGAAGATTTAAAGTAACTTCAAGGGGATTTGGACAGATCTGGTGACTGGACAAGAACATGGCAGATAGAACATAGGAGGAGGCATTCGGCCCTTTGTGCTCGCCCGCCAGATAGTATGATCATGGCTGAATCCTCCAACTCAGACTGTTCCTGCTTATCTCCCACATCCTTTGAGCCCTTGTGCCCCAGGTGCCTTATTCAACACCATCTTGAAATCATACAACGTATTGGCCTCGACTGCTTTTTGTGGGAGCGAAGTCCACAGGCTCTCTGTGCTCTGGGTGGAGAACTTCCTCCTCCTCTTTGTCCTAAATGGTTTATCTCAATCCTTAGACTGTCAGGCTTGATTCTGGACGTTCTTCCTGCATCTGTCCTGCCTAGTCCTGTTGGAATTTAAAGGTTTCAATGAGATCCCCTCTCATTCTCCCGAACCCCCACAATATAATCCTCACTGATGCAACCTCTCCTCATACCTCCGTCCTGCTGTCCCAGGAATCAGTCTGGTAAACTTTTACTTTACTCCCTCCGTAACAAGGATATCCTTCCTCCGGTAAGGAGACCAAAACTTGCATACCATATTCTGGGTGTGGTCTCACCAAGCTTCTGTTTAATTGCCCCAAGGCATCCCTGCTCCTATATTTCAGTCCTCTCGATATGAAGGTTACCACACCATTTGTTGCCTTCACTGTCTGCTGTACCTGCTTGCTTACCTTTACTGACTAGTGTACTAAGATACCTAGGTCTATTTGCACATTTCCCCCTTCTCAATTTGTAACCACTCATATGATAGTCCGCTTTCCTGTTGTCGGTCCCAAGGTGGATAACCTCACATTTATCCACGTGACACTGCATGTGCCACGCATTTGCCCAATCACTCAGCTTGTCCAAGTCATACTGAAACATCTGTGTTTGATTCACTGATCACTCCCACCCAACTTGTCTCATTTGCAAATTTGGTGTTATGTTTAGTTCCCTCACCTAAATCATTAATGTATATTGAACAGCTGGGGTCTGAGCACTTACCTCTGTGGTATCCCACAACTCACCATCTGTCATTATGAAAGTGAACCATTTGCTCCTCTGTTTTGTTTCCTGTCTGCCAACCAGTTTTCTGTCCATTTCAGTACACGACTGCCAATCCACTGTGGTTTCATTTTACACATTAGTCTCTTACATGGGATTTTTTAGAAAGCCTTCTGAAAGTCCACACAAACTACATTCACTAGCTCCCCCTCATCAACTCTACTTGATACATCCTTGAAGAATTCCAGTAAATTTGTCAAGTATGCATTCCCTTTTGTAAATACATGCTGACTCTGCCCAATCCTGGCACTCTTAAGTGCTCAGTTATTAAATCATTTATAATGCCCACTTTCCCCACTGCTGACACCAGACTGACCGGTCTATAATTTGTTTTTTTTCTCTGTTTCCCTTTTTAAATTAAGAAGTTACGTTGGTTGTCCTCCAATCTGTAGGAACTGTTCCAGAGTCTTTTGAATATTGGAAGATGCATTCAGTATTTCTAGGGCCATTACTGAGTACTCTGGGATGTAGATTATCAGGCTGTGGTGATTTGTCTACCTTGAACCCCATCAATTTCCCCCAAATCATATCCCTCCGAATGCGGATTTCCTTTAGTTTCTCTCATTAAACCCTGTGTTCCCCAATATTTTGGGCATGTTATTTGTGTCTTTCTTTGTGAACACGGAACCAAACTATGCATTTAGATGGTCAGCTATTTCTTTGTTCTTCATTACAAATTCCCTTGTTTCTGACTAAAGGACCTACATTTGTCTTCACCAATAATTTTCTCATAACATTTGTATGGGAACATTTACAATCAGTTTTTATGTTGCTGCAAGCTTTCTTTTGTACTGTATTTATACCCCCTTAAATCAATCCTTTTGTCCTCCTTTGCTAATTCTAAACTTTTCCCACTCGCTGGTGCATGTATGGAATGAGCTGCTAGAAGCAGTGTTGGAGACTGCTACAATTAAATTTAAAAGGCATCTGGATGGGTTTATGAATAGGAAGGGTTTGGAGGGATATAGGCCAAAAGCTGACAAATGGGACATCTGGTTGGCATAGATGAGTTGGGTTGAAGGATCTGTCTCAGTGCTGTACATCTGACTCGTTCGGTCTGTTGTTCTCTGGCCAATATGTATGCCTCTTCCTTGGATCTAATACGATTTCTAATACCCTCTGTAAGCTACCTTTCCTGTTGTAATGAACCAGATAGTAATGAACAACTGTTACAGTCCACCTGTGCACTCTTTGAATGTTTGTTATTTTATTTCTTCTCTCCTTCTATTTAAAAAATTGAAATATCTTTATTTTCTTTTCTACTTTATGAAAAGAAGTTGTAATCCCATTTTTTCAGTTCTTGGCATGGGCCAAGATATGCCTTAGCATCACAAATGCGCATCTAAGTACTACTTAAATGTTATGAGGGTTTCTGCCTCTAATTCATATGATGTCTTCTCATAACTGAGGCCTGGGTATCATTCTTGTAAATCGATTCTGTCACCCCTCCAAGGCCAATATATCCTTCCTAAAGTGTGGCACTCAGATTTGTTTACCGTACTCTAAGTAGGGATTTAACCAGAGTTTTGTATAGCTGCAGTATAATTTTTGTGTCTTTATACTCTAGTTTTTTAGATATAAAAGCAAGCATTTTATTAGCTTTTTTTGATTATTTTCTGCACCTGTTCATGGCATTTTAAAGATCTATGGACCTGAATCCCCAAGTCTCTTTGAACGTCAATTGTATTTAACTTCATGCCAACTAGAATGTACCCTGATTTATTCCTTTTTAGGACTAAACTGGATAACCTCTCACTTGCTAATGTTGAACTTGTTGCAACCACAAATACCCACCACCTCACAGATGTTCTACAGTGTCTATAAACCCCAAACTATAGTGGTAATGTTGGGGAAGACATTAAACAGTAAGTTAGCGATAAAGGTATAGCTGTAACTGTGGCCAACTTTACTTGTAGATTGGGTCCATCTCAACTTTATTGTTACTGATTTGGAAAAATGTCCTGGAATACGTACAGGACAGTTTTCTGGATCAACACGTTGAGGAATCAGTTCCCGAACAGACCGTCCTAGACTGGGCATTGTGCAATGAGAAAAGAATAATTCACAACCGAGCTTTGTCTTCACTAAGATGGAGAGTGACCATTATATGATAGAAGCCTTCACTAAGATGGAGAGTGACATAATTGATTTCAATACTAGGGTCTTGAATCTAAGTAGAAG